GGTAATCATTAATCTCTTAATTAAAGTTTTATTGAACTCTTAATTAAAAATCCAAATATTCTTAGATATGGAAGAGTGCCGGCGATTGGCATTTGCCATCTAATCAGTGCCATCGCAGGGACGGCCATTATATTCTTCTCGCATAACTTTATAGTGGTATTAATCTCGAGAGCATTCATGGGTTGTGTGGTGTTATCTCAGGGCATGTTTGCCGTGGTTTTAGTGATGGAATTTGTGGGAATCGACGGCAGAATGATTATATCGACTCTATTTTTATTCAGTTACTCCATTACCGCTACTATTCTTCCATGTGTTGCATATTATATCGATAACTGGAAGATATTAAGCATTATGACATCTGCACCACTGTTTATAATACCAATCATTTGTTTGTAAGCAATCTATAAGAATATCATTAATATGTATAGTATAGTAAAGAACTGCATCTTATTTGGTCCAAATTAATAGCTTTATTCCGGAATCCATTCGTTGGCTCATCTCTAAAGGGAAGCATTCAAGGGCTGAAACAATAATACAAAATATTGCGAAAACCAATAAAACACAAGTTTCCGCCGATGAGATCAGTCTTAAGAATATTAAATTAGACGAAAACAAAAGGGAATCATTACTTCAATTGTTTACTTATAAAAGACTCCTAAGAATATTTATTCTGACAAATATTCTTTGGTAAGTCATTAATACTATAGTGACAGTAATCATAATTAAATGGTTTGTTATGACAGGGCTCTGCAGAATATATGCTACACGGGAGCCAACCTCCATGCGGCCAATGTGTCCAAAAGGCCCTTCATAATGTTAAGCGTCAACTCCGGTCTCGATGTGATCGCCACCTTCTTCTCCAATAAGTTCTCCAACACTTACGGCAGGAAAATCACGACAATTGTGTCGTGCCTTTTGGCCGCAACCGCATACATTTCGGCCGCTATTGTCCCACTGTTCACGGATAACAAAAATAAGGATTTGGATAACACATTTGGATTATACATCGAAATGGCTGTCCTATTATTGGGTCGACTCACCTTCACGTGTGGCTATAATGTCCAATTCATATACGCCGCCGAAGTATACCCGACTGTCATCAGGAGTCGAGCGCTGGCCGTACGCCTAGCGGTCGGATCTATTGGTAATATGATTAGTCCACAAATCGTAAAGTTGTCCGAAATCAACGAACAAATCCCATTAATCATCTTTGGTTTGTGTGCTCTCATGGCGTCCGTACTTATGGTGAAACTCCCGGAAACACTCGACAAACCATTGCCCGAGACGTTAGAAGACGGCGACACATTTGGCAAGAAAACCAAATCAAAGCCCAAGAATGTGAATATGAGACGACGGTCCACATTAATAGCCGTATGTATGGCAACGGTAGAGATACCACTGAATTACGACACAAACGGCATCACCAACGGAACCATACCGAACAGCATTGAACTCAAAGTGAACGGTAAGTTCAAAAGCGGCTTAAAACAAAGCACCAAATTGTAAATACGGTAACAAATTTATTTCCACAAAAAAATATTTTACAAAATAAAATAAAAGTCAAACTAAGAGACAATGTCTATAATCAGACGAGTAGTACGGCGTTAATACAGCCATCATTTTCCGGGTTATTGGTGACCTGAGTGTACTTCCCCCAGACCACTTTCCCCGATTGGGTCACGAGACCCAACTCACTGATGTTCACTTCGATGACCGTTCCCTTCGTGATGACACCCAACGATGTATACATCGGTGAACTCGGGTTCTTCTTCACGCCGATAATCGGCAAACTGAAGGTCGCCCTCAACTCCGGGTGCGTCACGTGCGCCGTCTTGAACCTCAGGGCCATCGGACGGATAAAGCGCTCAAATTTGGGCGGTTTTCGGGTGAAGCCGTCGCCAACGAAACACACTTTCGTCACCATTCGCTTCCAACACTTCTTCTTACGTTTGCCGGTCTTTATGGCTCTGAAAGAGACAATCATTGGACACGTGAATGACTCGCAATGGACTCATAGGATGGGCGCGTACCTGAAGACCTCCATCTCGGACACGGCCTTAACCTTAGGGATGGGAACCTCCCATTTGCCGGCCTTCTCCTTCCGCTTCTGTTTAATCATATTTGAG